GCAATGACTTTTTGAGCTTTCAACCCTTGTGACACTCTTATTCAACTCCCTTTCTGCCCATAGATTGAGAATGAAATTAGCATGTGACCTGGACAGCATTAAAAAATATAAATTGAAAAAATCTCTATGATGAAGTAGAAGTGTATTGTAGATACTATCTTAAGTCTCTGAGGCATGTTTTATTAACGCTTGACTTTTCTCCCCAGGTTCCTAATGCACTTTACAATGAGAAGCTGATTGTACAGGTATCAGCAACATTGGTAGAGTCATGGAAAAAGGGTTAAAGGGCTTACTATTCATACAATGCTGTGTCCTCTATTTTAGCCCTAGGGATCTGAGAGTCCCTGAAGTGTAATTGGTCATTGTGTCCAGAGAGGAAATAACTGAACTCTATTCCCAACTGCTCTGGTAACATAGTAGTGGCACACAGGTGGTTTTCAAATTTTAAAACTAAGTTGATGGTAATAGTCATGAGACATAAACAATGAAAAATATGTTTAGAGTTGTTTATCAGGAGAGCACAAAGCTAAAGGAATTTATAGCCCCAGGTTCTTTTAAATGGCCTCAGAGGTCAGGGAATTAGTCCACTGATGGTGTATAAGGAAAAATAGTAATTCTACTGTTCATTGGTTTTTGTAATGAATATTTTTGGACTAAGCCTACTAGAGATCTACAGGTTAAAAACCCTATAACATATAAATTAACACATTGAAGTTTAAATTCAGTATGAATTCACTGAGACAGAACTAGTAGAAATGCTATGGAATTGGAACAGGAATAGTTTTAGAAAATTAATTGAATTATGCAATTTATAACTTACATGTGCTCATGTAATATTTTTGGTAAATTAAAATTGAAAGTGACTTCAGCATCAGCATAGATATAATCAAAAAGAAAATCCTTTGTTAGCTCACTTTACCACTGAGCTGTTACCTTCCCCCCATAATGCATTTTTATAAATTGTAAAATCATATATGTAGAACGTAATCATTGTATAATTTATAGCATTTTCTTAACACATGATTTTGTAGCCATGTAATAGTCTTTTATAAGTTAATAATTTAACTTATAATCTATGTATATAATTTATATATACATACCTCCCCAGTTTTTAACTATTAAATATTTGCATTTTCTGAATTTATCACTTTATACTACATATCATTCAGAATAACTTTTTTTCAATATGTGATCTTCTTTGGACTATTTATCAGGATGAAATCAGCCAATTAAAAAGTATTACTGTATGTAATATGTATTCTTTTGGCTTTCAAAATAATGTAACTGGTTGGACTTGAATTATACCAGAAGAGCAATTTTAGAGGGAGATAATAGAAGAGAAATACAGAATAAAATCCCACAATTGTATCACTGAAAAAATACATATGTATATTTTTAGATATTTATATTTTTGTTCTTTTGGTTCCCCTTTTGTCCTGCCAGTTTTGATAGTGAATACTGAATTATCCTCATGACTATAAAGTTGCTTTTAAAGTTTCTTATTTGTTTCCTTTGCAATCCTAAAGGATGCATGGGTGGCAGTCCCTGTCACATCTCCATTTTCCTCACCACTCAGTCCACTGAAAAAATCAGATAGATCTTGGAAGATGACAAGAGATTACCACAATTCAGACAAGTGTTAGTCCCAGTTGAATCAGCTGGGCCAGATGTGTGTCTTTGTTGAGCATATTAACATGATATTGGGTGTATGGTGTGCAGTCCTTGATCTGGTGAATGTGTTCTTTTTCACCCCTTTCAAGAAAGTAGATCAGAAAGAATTTATATTCACTTGGAGCTGACAATGGTATCCAGTGTCCCAGGGATATTTTTTTGTTTTTTTACTTTCTGTTTTTACAAATTTTTTTTTATTGAAGTATAATCAGTTTGCAATGTTGCGTCAATTTCTGGTGTACAGCACAGTACTTCAGTCATATAGGGACATATATATATTCATTTTCATATTCTCTTTTACCATAAGTTACTACAAGATATTGAATATAGTTCCCTGTGCTATACAGCATAAACTTGTTTATCTATTTTTTATATATTAGTATCTGCAAATCTCGAACTCCCAATTTATTCCTTCCCACCCCCTTCCCCCACTAATAAACATGAGTTTGTTTTCTATGTCCGTGAGTCTGTTTCTGCTTTGTAAAGAAGTCTGTCTTTTTTTTTTTAGATTCCGCATATAAGTGATATATGGTATTTTTCTTTTCTTTCTGGCTTACTTCACTTAGAATGACAATCTCCAGCTCCATCAAATGGCATTATTTTATTATTTTTTATGGCCGAATAGTATTCCATTGTTTAAATATACTACAACTTCTTTATCTAGTCATCTGTCGATGGACATTTAGGTTGTTTCCATGTCTTGGCTATTGTAAATAGTGCTATCAACACTGGAGTGCATGTGTCTTTTTGAATTAAGGTTCCCTCCAGATGCCCAGGAGTGGGATTGCTGGATCATATGGTAAGTCTATTTTTAGTTTTTTGAGGAATCTCCATACTGTTTTCCATAATGGCTGCACCGAACTACATTCCCACCAGCAGTGTAGATGGGTTCCCTTTTCTCTACACCCTCTCCAGCATTTACTGTTTGTGGACTTTTGAATGATGGCCATTCTGACTGGTGTGAGGTGATACCTCATTGTAGTTTTGATTTGCATTTCTTTGATAATTAGCTATACTGATAATTAGCAATATTGAGCATTTTTTCATGTGCCTATTTGCCATTTGTATGTCTTCACTGGAGAATTGCTTGTTTAGGTCTTCTGCTCATTTTTGGATTGAGTTGTTTGTTTCTGTTGTTGTTGTTATTAAGTTGTATGAGCTGTTTATATGCAGCTGTCCAGTCTTCCCAACACTG